ACTGACTCCACATTGCAATTTGGACTGTTAATAGAGGAAGGTCTTCTCTATGGAATGGTGCTTAAAACAGTAGTTTTGCTGACTCTCATTAGGATTTACAATTTTTTTATCATCATGCTTTCAGACGTTTAAAAAATGTTTCAAGAATTAACCACGATTGAGGCCAAAATCGGCGCTTGCAGAAATAATAGAAGAAGCTTTCCTCTATTGCTCTATTGAATAATACTAGGAATATACTAATACGAACTTTCATAAAGATCCGGATAATTGTTTATTCATTTTCAGCAAAATTTGTCCTTCTGTCCGTCTGAGCACCAAACAGTGCGTACTCAGAAGAAGAGCCGCCCTATTCGGACAAATAATTGCGCTTAAATGGGTGGCCATCAATTATTCAGCTTAAAGTAACAAACGGAATCGAAGTGGCTGCGATTTAGGTGTATTTAGGTATTTACGATTCCATCATTTGAACGTCGACATTGGACGTGAAAACGATTAGTGCTCGAGCGAAAAACGAGCGATTTAATTTGGAAATTCCGCAGCAAAAATGGGCAATTATTCAGCAGGGTATTTTGTGTCCAAACAGGATTAAATGCTACGTGCTCGATGAGAAAAGAAACGAAAATCTCCAGGAGTCCATAAAAGCCATCTCGAAATAGAATCAGCTGAATTTATGGGTTGTTCTGCTGCAGGAAGACTGAAGACTAGCAGTTTGAACAACGACCAATCGGGCAGAGTTTAACGGCTCAGTTTTCAATGGAAAGTAAAATAATGTGGCTGACCCATTATATGCACCAGTTGATTAAATAGAGCGCTCTAATTTCATGCTCCAAGGGCTCTATTTATGCTGATCCAAATAAGCCACATGCCAATGCAATCTGCTGATTTGCTTGTTGAAAAAGACAATATTTGAATGGGCGCCATGTAATTGATTTCGACTTTTTCCTCCTGTTTTGTTCAACCATTCAACAATTCAACCCCAAAAATCCATGAAGCTTTCCAATAAGCTACTGAAAAAACGGGCGATTTTAGACGCACTTTCAAGCAGCGAGATCCACAAATAAAAATTATCTCAAAGTATTATCTGTGTAATTAAACATAAGATACACTGAAAAGTGGATATGGAAAAAATGAGGTCAAGTTTGCCTTAATGATAAATTTTATTGGAGGCAACAGGCGTATTTTCGAACATTGCCCAAGCCGGAATAATCCAACTTCTAATTGATCGCGAAACAACGCTTCAAACTGCTTGTTTAGATAATTAATTAATTTAATAAACTGCCGAATTTATGTCCGCACACACCAGCAACTTGCGACTAAATTAACCAAATTAGCATCCGTAAATGTCAAGAATTTTTCGATTTCCATACTAGGACGACTGCTGGCGACAGCCATAAATTAGTCCTAGTTTCCTTATCGAGCGAGACATTTTTTGAAACAGTCCAACTTCCCAAAGTGTCGGATGCCCAAACTGGAAAAATTCCCAAAGATTGAGGAAAATTGAGACGAAGTCCTCCCTACAGGCGTTGGCAGCAAAAACATTGCTCTACAGAATGGTGCTTTAAGCAGCAGTTTATCTACTTCCTGTCTGGAGTGGCGATTTTTTGAAAAATCGCTTCCAAATTTAGTGGAAGACAAACGGCAATTTGAAGCTTCCAGCTTTAAAAAATTCCCAAAAATTCGCCCAAATTGACCTTAAATCGACTCTTGCAGTTTTAATAGAACAGGGTTTGCCCCATGGAATGGTGCTTGAGGCACGTTTCTACCTAATCAGCGTTTTGAGGAACAAGTTTTTGAAATCGCTCTTTCACACTCTTTGACTGGTGTAAAAGTCAATTTGATCAATGGGCCTGAGTTTGAGGGAAACAATTTCGATTGTTCAGCTGCACTTTTCAAAAAAACATTTACATCGAAAATTGAGACTAAATCGCATTAAATTATAGCATTATTAGAAAACAGTTTTCTCAATTAAACGAGACTTGGAGTAACACTAAATCCTCCTTGAATTGAGCCACGAATTTGTGAAGTCACTTCTAAACGTTGCAGCTGGAAGCACTTGAAAAATGTCAAGAATTGAGAAAATATGAGCCTCCTGCAGGATTTAGAGGCAGGGTTCCGACAATCACTGCTGCTTGAAACCGTACTTTCGATAATTCTCATTTCGAGCGATGATTTTTGAAGAATTTAACCCAAACGTCGTGGCTGCCAAACCGCACTTTAAAGCCCCAAATTCAAAAAATTCCCAACAATTTACGAAAGGTGAGCCTAAGTTTGTTCTTTTAGTGTTAATAGAAAAAGGTTTGCTCTATTAAGTGGTCTGTGCGGAAGAGCTCCAGCTGGTCCCCAGTTTTACCGATGAATTTTTGAAAAAACCGGTTCCAAACGTCGTGAAAGCTAAACGCCATATTAAAAGCGGCC